TTAAAAAAATAAAATAAAATAAAATAATTAGTGTAAATCTAACATGGGCATTACCTTTTCACTCGCTTCAGCTTTCCTGAACCAACCAATAAAAATTTATGTTACCTGTCCTGCTATTATCACTCTCTGCAATTATATGTTTCGTTTAATTACTGTGTTGTTCTTGATTGGAATTGGGTCATGAAATTTTTATTACACACACACACAAAAAAATAAAAAATAAAAAAAAATACTTGTCAATTCTGTTGTTTATGTCCTGATTTATAATGTCTATTGTTTTCCAAATGAACGAGCTTGAAGCCAATATTATATCTTAGATTTTGGTGTGGGCAATTCTTGGTATGCTAACAGATGGACACAATTGTAAAATATTGTTTTTGATTATTGCACCATTTGTAATAAGTGATGAGCAATCCAAATATCAAATGTACATGAGAAGTGTTGAAAGACTGGAGTATATGCCTTTTTCTTTTCTTTTTTTTCTATTCTAGGACCATTTGGAGGTTTTGAAGCTGGGATTTCCAAGGATGGCCAGACTCAGTGAGCATGCCTTGCCTTGCTTGCTTTCATTATATTGATAAAATATTTGAAAATTTTAGATAGAAGTGTGTCGAGAATATCAGTAGACTTGAGTCTCCATTTAACTAAGAATAATAGAATATTTTTGAGTCATTAGAAGTTTGATATATCTGATGAGTTGTACAAGGCCGAACATAGCCTACTCAGTCAGCAGGTTAAGTAAATACACGAGTAATCCCAATGCCTATCTTTAAAAAGGCGTTTGTGCGGGTACTAAGGTACTTACGATAAAGCTAGGATTATGGATTGCATTTTTCCAGATATCCAGTTGTACCAAAAAGGTACAGTGACGTCACCTAGATATTTGATATAAAGATTACAAATCATTTAGTGGATTTGTTTTCACTATTGGAAGTGCAACTGTGTCTTGGAAATCTTCCAAGTAGATGTGTATCACTAGATCAATGATGAAATCGGAATTCAGTGATTTAGATAAAGCTACTGAAATAGCTGAATGACTTTGCCGTTTTCTTTAGGATATTCCATGTTGATCGAAACTTGTGCTAGCAATTTTGTATACTTTGCGACTACCAATCATGTATAAGTAGGGCATAGAGTAATAAGTATGATGGAAGCTCTAGACATTTTCATCAAAGACATAACTCCATATGACGACTGCTCTCATGTGTTGTATTTATAGACTATGTAAAGTCTAAGGACAATATTATGGATCCATTAACCTAAAGGTTAAATCGAGAGTTAGTAAGAAGTCGTCAAGAGGAATGGAGTTAAAGCCTTTAACGAATGTTATCAGAATGAAAAATCTAATGTAATTGACTAGAAATCCCAAGATCTAGGTTCAAAGGGACAACCTAATTACGTATAATGGGTGAATCACTGTGGAATAAATCCTCCTGGCCATTCCTTTATACAATGATACCCCTTGTGGTAGAAGGTCAAACTGATGCTTTTAATGACCTGTGTGTTTTGAATAGTCAATTGTGGTATAGCAAGATACCTATGTGAATACGAAGTAAGGCCACTTCTTTAAGAATTGACAAGGCCGAATTCTTTAAAAACACTCACTGAACCAGACAAGTATTTCAGGGCCAAACCTGACACACTAGTGAGAACAAAAACAATGGTTAGAGTAACTCCTCTGTGAGGTTTATTGTCTCGATTTATACAAACGGCAGAACAGTTCAAGACATCACGTTCACTGGTCAACTAGTAAATCCGATAGGCTTTGACTACGAAAAGTTCAAGGCAGTAGTTACCTTTTCTGATGCAGGTCTATTTTGTGTGCTCTCTCTCCGAGTCTTTGTTGTTAAGCGTTGTCCGTTTTTATTTATTTGGCCAAATTTTATTCATATGGAGGATTGTTGGAAAATAATGGTTTTTCAGCAATTTTAATTCGAAATTAAAGTAGGATCTAACAGCCGGTTAAGGTGGGTCCGAGTGAGGTTGTATTCTCTTAAGTGAGAATATTACAATATAAAAATAATGAGCTGAAACTATTAGGTTGTGAATGAGAATTGTCTCATAAAGTGGCACTACAAAAAAATCAAAATTTAGTAGCAGCCAAAACTGTCGCTAAAAGAAAGAAAAAGCGTAGCTAAAAACTAGAATACTTTTACCCGCGGCTGCAATAGCGACGGCCAAACCGCCGCAATAGCCCCGTCGGCATATCCTTATAGTGACGTTTTCTGCAAACGCTGGTATAGTTATTTTTATTGCGACGGTTGATGTAGTAACAGTTATTAATGTCGTTATATCTTGAATTTACCAATTACTTGCTAACTTTATAGCGACGGGTCGACTGCCGCTATATCCTTCACTTTTGTGACATTTTGTGAACCGCTGCTATATTTTGACTCTATTCCATCAGTTTTACAGTGTTGCTATAGCCATAGAATTCGTTTTGAATTTTATTTACAGCGACGGTTATTAACCAGGGTTGTAGGCTATGTTTTTTTTTTTGGGAGGGGGGGTGAATCAGTCATAAATAAAATGACAAAAAACTACAAGAAACAAGGGGTATACCCTAGGAGCTAACCAACTATACAAAGACACATAAACCAAAACACAAAAAAAGACAATCTAAAGAGCGAAAACCATCATGTTCACACACCACATAAGCAAAGAGCAAATGAGAGCAAGAACAAGGCAAACAAGACAAAAAAAAAAAAAAAAAACCCTAAGAACAACATAACCTGGTTACACTGAAAAGATTCAAACAACAAAATGAACTAGAAACAAAACCCAAAAGACCATATTATAGAGACAATTCGATTAAAAAATGATCAAAACAGACACCATAGCCCCGAAGACAGCAAACAACTGCAAACTGTGGGCAAACTGTTGACAGTAAACACCAGCCATAGCACCATGCACCAGCAGCAATGACACCAGGCATCAAAGCAAACAACAGCAGCCAACAAAAAAGCCAACAACCTGCTCACATTATATATCTATAACAACACTATTTTATTCTAATGGCTCAATACTCCATCATGTTCACACACCACATAAGCAAAGAGCAAATGAGAGCAAGAACAAGGCAAACAAGACAAAAAAAAAAACCTAAGAGCAACATAACCTGGTTACACTGAAAAGATCCAAACAACAAAAGGAACTAGAAACAAAACCCAAAAGACCATATTATAGAGACAATTTGATTAAAAAATGATCAAAACAGACACCATAGCCCCGAAGACAGCAAACAACAGCAAACTGTGGGCAAACTGTTGACAGTAAACACCAGCCATAGCACCATGCACAGTAGCAATGACACCAGGCATCAAAGCAAACAACAGCAGCCAACAAAAAAGCCAACAACCTGCTCACATTATATATCTGTAACAACACTATTTTATCTTGGACTTAGATTTGTACTTGTGCATGTGCTTGTGCTGAGTTTGATCTTGGTATTGGAGTTGGAGTTGCACTTAATCTTGAACTTGGACTCGGCTGTGCTGTGTTAGGTTTAGCTTGTATATGTGTTTGATGTTGGGGTTGGATCGGGTTTTGACCCAACACTCGTATTCGTTTTGCAACCCATCTGTTTGAATTATTCAAATATCATTATATACATATTTATTTGTATATATTAAGCACATAAAATTTTTAGACTTTTTTAACTCTCATCTTTTGATGACGGAATTAATGATCATATTAGTGGCCATAAGTTTTTAACCTTTGTAACTCTAACCCTAATGGCTAGAGTTGATGGCCTTGGTTAATGGCACTTTGATGACCCTATTGATATTAGTCTTCATGGCTAAGGTTCTCTCCTACAAATATAAATAGAGGCTTTTCCTTCCAACTTAGTAGAAGAATTTTTGAGGGATTTTTTTATGGAAAATGAGATGGTGTTTTGAAATAATAAAGTTAGAAATAATTTTTATACCAAGGAAATTTTTTTTATCTTCTTTGTGTTAACTCCTTCTTTGGTTCTTGTTAAAGAGAGTGTGTTGTCATTGTCAAGTTCACTAAAGCTATTTAGAATGTGCTTCTGCATGAGCTGGTTTTGATCATCGTATCCTAGGAGACAGACATCGATGTACCTCTAGCACCCATCGAGAGGCGGTGAATCTGTTTTGAGGAAATTATGATATCACGTAGGTTTAGATTTGCGTCTCTTATCCTTTGTTCTTTAAACTTTTTCGATTTAAACTATTTCTTGTATATTATTTTGTATGTCTATGTGAATCCGTCTTATAATATGTCCTATGACATAATCTAATTCATTTTTGTATTTTTAATTATGTAGTTTATTTTGTATTTTATTCTTTAATAATAATAATAATTATTATTTTTATCATTTTTATTTAATTTTATTTTATATATTTTTCTAATATTATTATAAAAAAAATACCAACACTTGTGTTGTCCTGACATTTTCTTTTCATATAATATCTAGATTTTGTTTTAAGTCATGAATTGCCTGCCTGCATTCTGATAGATCTAAATGGATATTGTTTGACATAAAGTTCATACAAGAGTGGCAGTAGGTCTTTTTTGATATTAGATTTGTGGAGAGATTTGTTGCTATGCTTGTATTTGGATTTGGACTTGTAGGGGGGGAAAAAAGTTAAAAATTAATGATTTTGATATACTTGCTAATTTTTTTTAGATTCACACGTAGAAAAATTTAACCAAAATTCGGACTAAAATACCAAACTAAAACTTAACTATAACTTGTACACATCAAATTGTTCAAATTGCAAAAATAAATATTAAAATAAAATTAAAATTAAACTATAGGGGTGAAAAATGTAATTCATCCAAGAAATAAGAAGTGAAGCATAATTCCGCAAAAAGAAATATCCGATAAGTACTTGAGAGAGTTAAACAAGGAAAAAAGATACAAAGACGCAAATAACAGACAAAACATGATTTGGGGTTTTTGGCTATCAGCTCAACCAAAACATTGAAAAGTGGATCATTATTCTGAAACTTCAAACTCACCCAATTGAATGTGTAGGTGTAAAACTTCATACATCAATTTATTGATTGTCAAAAAGACCCAAAAAAACAAAATATGGATAATCCTGTTAATTTTAACGAAAACAGATAAAAATCCCATAATAAGCTCAAAGCTCTGATCATTTTGTTCATTACAAGCCATAGTAATAGTTTGAGCCAAAACATACAAACTAAAAAGTTCTCATCAAAATCTTCTCAGTCACAAATTCTTAAAAGCCGACTCTTGCGTTGCCTTCTGTGGGGTCAGTCTAGCTAACAAAGCCTTGTTGTGACAGTGGTCGGCATCAACAAAATAAAATTTTCCATCAGCTTTAAATGTCACAAAAGGCCTGTTTGTCTCCGGCAGCTTGATATCCGCAAACTTGATGGTTTTCGGAATAGATGTTGCTAGCCATGACAACATCTCGACTTCAAAGCTGTCTGAACCAGGCCGCCATCTGAGCTTGTGAATATAAGGGCTCACGAACCAGTGAAGAATAGCGGTGGTTGAAGCACTGAAGAAGATAACCGAAGAAGCCACTGCCCCCTTTAGGATCACATTTGAGTCAGGAGATGTCATGAATGTTATGACAGGTCCTAAAGACACGGATAGGCAACAGGTGGAAAGAGAGAGGAGCTTCACTTTCTTGATAGTACTTGAGATCGGTCCATAATAAGCAACCCCTGTATCCTTATCATCATCCCCAGCTTCTACTCCTCTACGAGGTCCAATGCTGATCTTGTCATCTTCCCTTGGGGATTGAGATGCCCATCTTTTTTGCATAATGGCAAACTGTGAAGCAGAGTTGAGGTTGGTATTGGAACTCGGAGGGTGTGCCGACCATGTTCCGAACTTACGGGGATAATAACCTGAAGCAGCAAAAAACTGTTAACAGTAACCTTAAAAATGTGCATCTCTGAATTTCCAAGCCAAAAAGCTCACTGACAACCACGTTGAGTTAATAAGGAAATTTTTTTACTCAAATGGAAAAGGTAATCAACCATCAATAGCCAACAATCTGTAGTTGAGTTTGTATCTGGAGGAAAGCCTAAAGAGTCAGCACAATCAAGATACAAGGGGTTCAAGCAAGCCAAGAGGCATGAATTTTGCGTATTTTAGAGAACATGAGTGGTAATTTTTAAAATACCAAAGGTCAAGCTTCTACAGCGTGCTGGTGAACTAACACATCAACGTATACAAGTAATACATAACAATTTAACTATTTATGAAGGACATCATTATGCAGCAAAAAGTGTTAACAAAAAGTGACTTTGGTATTATAGCCCTTAGTTCAAGAATTCATCGAACTGGGATTTCTTACTTTTTCTAAACAACTTGTCTGGAGCTTCCAATGTGTGGCTAAATCCATAATTTGAGAAGTCATAACCGCAAATGAATCGACATTTACATTCTTCCATAGAGAGACAAGATTATATGAAATGGTAGTGATAGTGTCACACAAAGCCTTTGCAAACATCATGTGCGGCATTATATAATCCCTATGGGCATTGAACATGTATATGTTCCACACTGTGTTGCCAGTTGCCAATATAATGTGTGGTATCACAGAGTTCCTATGGGCAATACAAAAATAAAAGGCCCATCTAATGAAGTTCTCATTATATGCTGTCAAAAAAAAAATTGGAATTAATTGGACCTTGCATTTGCATTTCCAAATGAAATTGGTGTGGTTCACTACTTGTCATAATATGTAGGGCTGATCTTAAATAAGGAGATGCAATTAAAATTTTGATAAAAGAAATAGTAAAATTGTTTGTCACTCTCATAACTGCATGGAGAGTTTGTATTGATATTTTATATACAACTCTTATATGTAAATGAATAACGTAAAAAGTCAACTAACAAGACATATAGGTTTGCTTGTCTGCATACAAATTCAATGGTGCATGTGAAAAAGGTGTCAAACAGTTTACAACTCCATTTTAATTTTCGTTATAGCTGCAAGATCTTCTACTGAAAAGAAAGACTTCAGTATATCAAATGTTATGAGAAAATATCTCTAGCATTTTGACTTTCCTCTTTAGATGCAACTAAGAGTAATTTGAAACATAGAAGTACATAATTTTTGTTTTGCACAATCAGGACAACTTTTGGCATTTCTTCAAAAGTTGTATTCCGCAAAACAAGTCCGATACCATGCCCCCAAAACCCAATCTTATTTCTTATTTTGTGGCCTAGGGAACAAGTCCCTAGCATTTTGATCGGGATGACAACCTCTTTGCCAACTCCACTTTCACACATAAGCATGTAAAAAGCACAGGGAAAAAAAAAAAAAAACATTGCCAAAATGGACACCTTAAGACCTTGAAAGATCAATGCAACACGGTGTGGATGCCTTCTGGTCTATGAGGAGAAGTGTGTCTATGCATGTTACAAAGCATTAATGGAAAGAAATATAGGTTTGTAACAGAGGCTAAGTCGTAAGTGAATGACATAAATTCTATATCAAGAATTGTGAAAGATAATTTTATTAGAAAAAATAGAACGATAAATTTATTAGCAAAAATAGAACAATAATACAATATAAACTACCATAATAATGAATCATATGCTTTTGTATGAGCTTCACTTTTTAAGTACAAACATCATTTACTTTTAATTTAATTAGGATAAGGGAAATAATAGTGACTCCAAACAAAGAATAAATAATTTGGAGCTTTACAACTACGTCTAGTCACATAAACTACACAACATAACATTATACCAAGCACATTTTTCAATCTTCACAACATTTTTGAGACTTCACTCTGAATCTAAGCAAAGAAACCAACATGCCCAGTCCACAACTCTTTCGAAGTCATCAAACAAACCAGTGAATAAAAATCCCCGATCATGACAGTCCATCTATTAGATACAAAATTGTCAAATAAATTGACGCCTATAGAATTGAAAGTTACTTTTTCTAGTTTTTCAAGTTGGAAAATCTCTAGGTTACAGAAACCTGAGGGAATGACCAGTGTGTTGAGGTTTGGCACCATACAAAGTTACGAACCCGGAGCTACACCCAGTGGCTATGTGATGTGCTAAAGCAAAGACAGGTGTCATACACACAACTTACAAGCTCTGGGAATCCCTTTCAACCAAATTACTTATCTTCAGGAAAATTATGGGTGATGGGTGTTTTCAAACTTTTCATTATTTTTGTTTTTGAAACAAAACGAAAACACAACCAAAACGGCCCTAATTCTTTTCCCCCTCTTTTTTCTTTATTTATTCGCCACAAAAGAGGCAAATATGTAAAGTCAATATCCACATTCAAAGCAAACTTCTTACTGGTTCAACCGTCAACATTGATCTCTTCTAGATTTAAAAAATAATAGCACACGCATCGCGTGGGCTCAAATACTGGTATATGAGTTCTATGGCAACAGAAATTTCTATTAAAAAAATGGAAAGAGAAAAGGATAAGAGAGATGGATGATGATGCGAGAGAGAGAGAGAGAGAATGTAGGGCAATCCTTCGCTTTGGCTGCAAAACTAGAGCAGCAAAGCAGCCATGGAGTCCCGATATAATGTATGCCCATCGCACAATATAGTGTGCACCACGAATTTTATGAAACCTCTCTCGTGGAAATACCACGCCACCCCTTCCTTTCAAGGGGGAAGCGCTCGGCCTTGGGCGTGTTTCTACTCTCTGAAAACCACATGAAAGCGATGAGTGATGGGTGTTTTCAAACTTTACATTATTTTTGTTTTTCAAAAACACAAGAACAAAGAAAACCAAGAAGGCCCTAATTTTTCTTTTCCCTCTTTTATCTTTATTTTTCTTTTCCCTCCACAAATCCAAAACCCAAATACAGCACAAGTTCTAGTAAACAATCCAAAGTACATATTATGCATGTACGGAAGTATCTAGGTTTGAACCAACTGTATCGTACAATAAGCATATCCAAACAGCAACATAAACGTACATAATTTACATAGTTTATTACTTTTTTCAAAATTTCAACATCTAAGTAGAATAATATCTACACAGACACATACAAAGGCAAGCATAAGTACATATATATACTATATAAAATTATTATATGTGAAGACTAGACTTGGTGTAGCCTACCCTCTGTCATGGTATTTTTTTCCCCAAAATGCCCATGTCATGCGATAAATCTCATGTATATTTTCTGTTGTTTCTCTTCACCACAAAAGGGGCAATATGTAATATCAAGTCAATGTCCACATTCAAAGAATACTTTTACTATTCAACCATCAATATCAATCTCATTTTGATTTCAAAAATAATAGCACACGCATCGTGTGGCCTCAAATACTATATATATATATATATAGGCAAATGTGTTCACAGGCATCAGAAATTTCTATAAAAAAATATAAATAAAAATATAAAAAATTGGAAAGAGAAGAGGATAAGAGTGATGGATGATGATGATGAGGAGGAGGAGGAGGAGGAGAAAGATAGAGAGAGAGAAAGAGAATGTAGGGCAATCCTTCGCTTTGGCTGCAAAACTGAAGCAGCAAAGCGGCCATGGAGTCCCAATCTAATGTACGCCCATCGCACAATATAGTGTGCGCCACGAATTTTATAAAAACCTCTCTCGTGGAAATACCACGCCACCCCTTCCTTTCAAGGGGGAAGCGCTCGGCCTTGGGCGTGTTTCTACTCTCTGAAAACCACATGAAAGCGATGAGTGATGGGTGTTTTCAAACTTTACATTATTTTTGTTTTTCAAAAACACAAGAACAAAGAAAACCAAGAAGGCCCTAATTTTTCTTTTCCCTCTTTTATCTTTATTTTTCTTTTCCCTCCACAAATCCAAAACCCAAATACAGCACAAGTTCTAGTAAACAATCCAAAGTACATATTATGCATGTACGGAAGTATCTAGGTTTGAACCAACTGTATCGTACAATAAGCATATCCAAACAGCAACATAAACGTACATAATTTACATAGTTTATTACTTTTTTCAAAATTTCAACATCTAAGTAGAATAATATCTACACAGACACATACAAAGGCAAGCATAAGTACATATATATACTATATAAAATTATTATATGTGAAGACTAGACTTGGTGTAGCCTACCCTCTGTCATGGTATTTTTTTCCCCAAAATGCCCATGTCATGCGATAAATCTCATGTATATTTTCTGTTGTTTCTCTTCACCACAAAAGGGGCAATATGTAATATCAAGTCAATGTCCACATTCAAAGAATACTTTTACTATTCAACCATCAATATCAATCTCATTTTGATTTCAAAAATAATAGCACACGCATCGTGTGGCCTCAAATACTATATATATATATATATAGGCAAATGTGTTCACAGGCATCAGAAATTTCTATAAAAAAATATAAATAAAAATATAAAAAATTGGAAAGAGAAGAGGATAAGAGTGATGGATGATGATGATGAGGAGGAGGAGGAGGAGGAGAAAGATAGAGAGAGAGAAAGAGAATGTAGGGCAATCCTTCGCTTTGGCTGCAAAACTGAAGCAGCAAAGCGGCCATGGAGTCCCAATCTAATGTACGCCCATCGCACAATATAGTGTGCGCCACGAATTTTAGAGAGAAGGGAGAGAGTGTTTGAGTGTAAGAAATCCTTACAGAGATGTTCGTGTGTGCCGTATGGGGGGCGCAGACATGCGTATATACCATCTGCGCCCCACATCCACTCCCAGTCAGCTCCTGACACGTGGCTCCGTTATCCCATCTGTCAGCATAAACCATGCCAATCATCACCTAATCCCAACTGCCTGTCATCACAGCTGGAGCTCGGCAGCCGAGCTGCCCTATGCGTTGCTGCGCAGTGCCGTGCTTCATACCCAAGCACTTCCCTGGCAAAGTCCAAGGGGAGACCGGGCTCGGCGGCATCTCGGCAACGCCTAGCCCGAAGCACCCCGTGGCCAGCTTTCATGCCGGTCAAACGGTAACCTCGGCCGACCGCGCCTTTTCGGGCGCCGGTCACTCGGCTTGTCTGGTTTCGGCTAACTTCGGACCGAGCACCCTGGCCCGACCGAGCACTGCCTTACCGAGCTGCTTCTTTACGGTCTGGGGCGGGACGCACTCGGCCCAAGTTCTGGCAGCCCTTCTCTGGGCGAACAGCCGATCATCCCGGCCCAATGCACTGCTGGGCTCTCAACCTGCTCGGTCGCTACCTCGGCCCAACTCCAGATCATAAATCACCCTCTCAATTACCCCTTAATTCCGTCCGCGAAAGCGTGACTGGGATTACTCACTTCGACCAAGATAAGATTTCTCCGGTCTTCAAGACGCCGAACCTCGACCGGGCTAGTTAACATAATTGTCTACAACCTTGCCCGGTTATATTCCTCGACTGACATCCTCTTCGTCGAAAGTAGCTCGGTTGGCTCTTCGTATTTGCAACCCGTCGCTTCAGTCTTGTCGTAGCCATAAATTGGGACACGTGGCGGGCTGCCATTGGTCATCGGGCAGCCAACCCGCCGTTTTTGCCAAAATTTGAATTTGGGCGGTCTCCTTCGCCTATACATACATGCCCTTCCCAAACTCCAAATCTTCCTACTGCCACTTCGATACTCAACCTCAGAGCTCTTGCATCTTCATCCAGACTTGCTGCCATTCTTCGTGCTTGAAGGATTAGGTCCTACCCTTCACTGGTAAGTCATTCCACCCTCACTTTGTTGCTATTTTCTTTCATATCGCACACATTAGGGCACAAAAACATAGCTATTAGGGCATAGGTCGTAGAATCCGCTCTTAACCTTCCATTGTTCTTGGTGTTCTTCATCTTCATGAAGAACACTGAAAAAATGGGGTGAACCGAGCTCCTAGTCCTCTTTTGATCCAAAAAACCAACCTGACCGAGCAAATAACATGTTTATCTCAAACCCAGCAAAAATCGAGATAATCAAAAGGACTTGGTCGCTCAACCGGGCTAACATCTGGTCTGCTTGGGCGACCGGGCTCCTTAGACAGAATAGAAACCGAGGTGGTTTGGCACCCTTAATGACCGAGCTAAAATCCAGCTCCTTTTGCGCGACCGCGCTAACACTTAACACTTGCCATCCTTTTCCTGCAGAGTCCAAGGGGACCACTGTAATTCCTGAGGCTCTCAGGA